ATAATCATTAAATATATATTTTAAATGATTAAATTGCTCTAATAAAAGAATATTATTAACTAAATTAGTATAAGGATGAAGATGTGAATTAACCATTAGTTGAAGTATTCCAACTAAACATTCCATTGGATATTGCCAATATGTCCAAAAAGGACCACATTAATAAATTGAATATGCAACATGAAGTAAATAATGAAATGTTATAGTAAATACAAAAAGTCGTTCTTAATTATATTGATCATAAACTCTAAAAAAATTATATAAAATATTATTATATTATTTTATATATTTTAAAAATACAAAAATTATAAATACCTTTCATAATACAAAAAAAAATTTTGTAATAATAAATCAAAATCATTAATATCATGTGTTGTAAGTGTATATTAACAACATTTTTGAACAGCAAGTACATATAAAGCCCATCCTTTTATAATCTTAAAATAAGTATTAATAAAATATATAATTGTAATTTATAATAATATTCAATATACTTACTTTTCATTCATATATGGAATTAGTAAAGGAATTGAATAAAGAATTGTCCAATTCATCCATTTTTCTGCTTTGAATCTTCTAGAATACTTAATATTCATTGGTGACCAACCAAATTCTGTTGGCACGTTTTGTATTTTATTAGACATATCTTTTCTAATTTTTTCCCAAATTTTAGATTATAGAAAATATATATTATTATTATTCAATTCTGGTTTTGTTGTAGGAAAAAACTGTTCAGACCAATGACAATATATTGCAGGTGTTACTTCTTCCAAAAACAAATGCATTATATCCATAGAAAATGATTGTGAAAATCGTATTGTATTAAGTTCAAATAAAATATATGCATCTATAATTTCTAATAAATTATTAATAAATAATTTAATTAATTAAAGTTTTATTTTATATAAAATAATATAAAATTACCTCATAAGTTTATTTGTTTATTTTTTTCAGATTCAGAATGAATTTGTATAATCTTTGCAACATCTTCACTGTATTCTTTATAAGATCATATTAGAAGATTTGAAACATCATAAGATGAAGATTGTAAATCAGAATTTAATGTATAGTAAATATAATTATTATATATATTACAAATATTACAAAATTGGCAAGACATATATAAATATAGTTTGTTAAATTTAAAACTTTTGTAATTGCTGGAATATCATCAGTTCATATAATAGTATGTGTTAGTAATATAAATTTCAAATTTTTATAATCAATTATTTCAACTCCATCTATTAATATAATAATATCATTAATATTATTTAATTTTTAAAAAAAGTTAATTAATAAATACATATATTCTAATATCTTAAGCTTATTAACTAATTGTAACGAACTGGGCAGTTAATATAAGACTAGACTGGAAAACAAATTTATTGCATGACAGAGAATTTGTAATGAACAGACTAATTTTGTACAAAGGTTTGTATTTCTCTTATATACTATTTTTAAAACTTATTTGACTCATCAATTACTAATACTAACTATAAATTAATTCTACTTAATGATCTCATAATTTATGCACTTAACTATTTGCTAATTACGATATTTATTCAATTAATTAATTAACTTATTATTGTAACTGATAATTTATGTCGACAGGTGCTTAGATCAGGGTCATGAAGTCAGATCCTAGATCGGAACATAGGTTTGGTCACAGACTTGGGTTGTGGGTTGTAGGTTGGTAACAGTAGGTTGCTCACGGTTCGGATTGTAGGTTGGTCACAGTTTAGATCATGTGTTGGTTACAGGTTTGGATGGGTTAATCACAGGCTTGGTTGTTACACCATTATCTTCCTAATGGACTCCACCTATTTTAGTATATGTTTGTGTGCTTTTTACAATGGACCTGGTTTGTTAGGGTAATGTTGGTGAAACCTCTCAACTTCGTCTAGAGCATGGGCCACATTTTCTGCAGATTCCCAAGAGTGCTCGCTTATGTCATAGCCCTTCCAGTCAATTAAGTAATATAGCTTCTTGCAGACTAAATTGGTGTCGTGGATCTTATTAACTTCATATTCATCTTCACTTCCAACTACCATTGTGGGTAGAGGCTTCAAGCTTCTATCAAGAATTGAGTTTGCTATGTATGGCTTGAGCAAAGAAACATGAAAGGTATTATGGATCTTAAACATGGGAAATAAGATTAGATGATATGCCACTGAATCAATTTTTTCGGAAATAGTATATGGGCCCAGCTTTTGGTAGTCTAGTTTTTTAGAGGGTCGAGTAGTATAGATGTTCCATTGCAGGAGCCAGACCTTGTTGCCAATGCTGAAATTGGGGCCCTCTTGCCATTGACAATCTGCATTTTCCTTGTATCATTCTTGTGCCATTTCAATTCTCTAGTAAGTGTTTTCTTTATTTGCTGCAGCTGGATGGCCTTGTCCTTCATAGAGGAGACTAGAGAATGAAATGGTATCTGTAAGTTGAAGTGAGGGTGGAAGCCATAATTGGTGAAGAAGGATGTGATCTTGGTAGAGAAGTGGATCGAATTATTGTAAGTGAATTCCACTAGTGGGAGTAGGTCATTCCAATTGTCCTAGTGATAATTAATTGTACATCTCAAGTATTGCTCCAACACTTGATTAACTCTTTTGCTTTGACCATCTGACTGAGAATGGTAAGCCATTGATAGGTTGATTTGGGTTCCTAGCAGGCTTAATAGTTGCTTCCAGAATTTAGAAGCAAATTGGGGCCCTCTATCTGAAGTAATATTTTTTGGAATACCATGAAGACATATTACTTCTTACAATATTAGTTGTGCTGTTTGTTCTGCATTGATTTTTTTATTGCACAGAATAAAGTGTGCCATTTTAGTCAACCGATCAACTACAACAAAGATAGAGTCGAATCCCGATGACAAAGGTAAATCCACAATAAAGTCCATAGAGATGGACTGCCATTGTTGAGTAAGTATAGGTAAAGAGACTAGCAGCCCATACGGTCAATGCCTAGTGTTTTTTGATCTCATGCAAATCTCACAGTTTCTGATATAGTTCTTAGTAAAGGATCTAATGTTCAGCCACCAATAATCCATTGTTATTAACTTCATAGTTTTAGCCTCTCCAAAGTGGCCTGCTAACTTTGAATCATGTCTTGTTTGTAATATTTTTAACTGCTTTGTTATATTTGGTATGTACAGCAGGCCTTTCCTAAACAACAACCTGTCAGTGTATTGAAATTTGTGATAGTCAGATCATTTATTCAAATAGTCTGTATTTGGGTGTTCTAACTGATCTATTACATCTAAACCCAGTGAGTCTTTTCTTAGCTGGTCACGAACTTGGTCCCTTATAGAGATGTTGAATAGTGTTACATAAGTCACATCTATGTGCAGGTTTTGGGCCTTTAACACTATATTATGTTGTTAAGTTACTGCTTCTTCATCATCTTGAGGCTGGTAATCTGATATCTCGACAAGTATTGGATTTCCCTTGCTCTTTTCCTAACTGGAACATGATCTTGAAATCATAACTAAAGAGGAGAAGAGACCATCTGGCTTGACATCGATTTAGGTTTCTCACAGTGGTAAAGTATTGTAGGTTTTTGTGATTACAGTAAATAGTGATTTTATATTGGGCCCTTTTAAGATAATAGTGCCACTGTTTAAGGCTGTTATTATTGTAAGTAATTTCTTGTTATGAATGTCATAATTAATTTCTGCTGGTGTGAGTTTTCATGAATAATAGATGACAGAATGAAGGTTTCTTTTATAAAGTGGAACAGGACTGACCCAAGAGTATAGTCTAAAGCATCGGTTTTAAGAAAATATAGTTTTGTTGAGTCTGCTTCAATTAATATCGAGGCCAAGGTAAAAGCAGTTTTTAAGAAAGTGAAGGCCTGTTAAGCCTCTGGGCCCACTTAAAGCCTTTTGCTTTTATGTTTGATTTTTGGGTCAGGTTAGTTAAGAGGTTAACCAAAAGGGCATAGTTTTTGATAAAATGCGAATATTAGTTAGCAAATCCCAGAAATTGTTGTATTTCCTTGACTGAGGTTGGAGTGGGCCAAGAAAGTACACTCTTGACCTTTTTGGGATCCATTTGGATTCCTTGAGGGGTGATATGATAATCCAAGAAATCTATACTTTCTCTGTTGAGTTCACATTTCTTCAATTTTGCAAACCTGTTTTGACGTAGCTGTTTCAGCACTAACTGCATGTGTTGATTATGTTCTTCTTGATCAGGTGAATATATTAAGATGTCATTCAGGTAAATAATTATGAATCAGTCCAAAAAGTCTCTAAATATATCATTCATGAGATGTTGAAATACAGCTGGAGCATTAGTGAACCCAAACGGCATTACTAGGTACTCAAAGTGCCTATATCGTGTTCGAAAGGCAGTTTTTTATTTATCCTCTGGCCGGATACAGACCAGATTGTATGCACCTCTTAAATCGATTTTAGTGAAAATCCTTGCAGCAGCAAGTCGATCCAGAAGCTTGGGTATCAGAAGAAGTAGGTATCAATTTTTGACTGTGACTCAATTCAGGCCTTGATAATTCACACACATGTGCAATGTACCATCTTTCTTTTTCATGAAAAGTATGAAGGCCCCTGCTGGTAACTTCGAGTGTTAAATAAACCCCCTTTCTAAGTTGTCTCAATATATCCTCTTAATGTTTCTAGTTCTTGCTTCGATAGCTCATAGATAGGGCCCCAAGGAGGTTGTGTTCTAGGTAACAATTCAATAGAACAGTTATACGTCTGGTTTTTAGGTAACTTATCAGCCTCTTTTTTATCAAACATGTCACTAAATTCTCTATACTTTTGGGGTAAGGTTGGAGAAGGGTCTAACAGCTCTGTTGAATAGGAGCCACAAGCTATGGTGGTAAAAACCTAAACTATGAATATTTGTTCTCCACTTGAAATATTAGTTTTTGTTGGTGTCTGACTAAAAAGATGGGGTTTACATACTGGGTCTGAGAAGACAATAGAGCATTTGTGTCAATTTATTTCAGGGTTATGTAAAATGAGCCAGAGTAATCCCAGAATCATTTTATAGTGTAGAGACAGTATAAGATTTAAAGAGATTTTCTCATAATGATTTTGAAGGTTCAAAAGTAGTGTATCTGTTTTGTAAGTTACAGCTCTGGATGAGATTTCCCATCCATCAATTAATTTTACGAACAGCAGCATTTCCTTTTGGAAGGTGGGTAGGTTATATTCTTGGGCCAAGTAAGATCCTAAAAACATGCTGAGGCACCTAAATCAATTAATGCTTCTATATCTACTTGGGTTCTATTAGGTAGGTGTAAGTGTAATTTCACAGTAAGTGCAAATGTGGGCTTGACAGATAATGTACTTTTGAGGAGTAAACTAATTGTTTGGTTCAGCTAAAATACCCTTACTTTAGCTGGGCACCTTCTTTTCCTGACAATTCCTCAGCAGTGACTACAGCATCGATCCTTAGTGGTAAGTTGTGTTTTTTATAACAGTTCCTAACTATGTGACCCAGTTCACCACAGTATAGGCAAAGATTATTTGTACAATGTCGATTCTTCTCTTCTTCAGTCAATAGTTTAAATCTTGCAATGTCTATCTGCATTAGTTCTTCAGTAGCAGTTGTTGAGTTAGTTACCATTTGGGGCTGATAACACATAGAGTTTGAGCCTCATTGATGTTCTTGCCTTCGCTCAAACAACTGATTGTTACATCTAACTGTTTTTGAAATGGCATCATTTAATGAAATGGGGTCTTCAACAGTAAGGAGTAGGTCTTTTACATCACCTTGAAGGCCATTCCTAAATTGATCAATCAAAGCTGCTTCACCCAATCCAAGTTACTAGCAATTTGATAAAATTCGGAAGCATAGGTTGAGGCTAGTCTAGACCCCTAAGTAAGTTTTCGAATTTTGTTAGCTGCAGTTCTTGATTTGTCCGAATCACCAAAGATGTTTCAAACTTGTTAATTAGCTCAACAAAGTCTTCAAGTAAAGGTGACTGTTTTTTCAGTAATAGGGCAAACTAGGCCAAAGCTAGACCTGTAAGTAAACTTTCAAAAAGTCCCACTTAAGCCAAGTCATTTGAATAGCAGCTGGGCTGCATATGTATAACCAAACATACTTGATTCAGGAACCCTCTAAATTTGGCTCATGATCTGTCAAATTTATCTGGAAGGCTAATCTTGGACTTCCTATAATAAGAGGTTTCCTCTTCTTGACATTGGTTCAGTATGTTTCTAAGTTCAGTATTCTTTTGATGAAGTGTTTGGTAGTTTAGTTGAATCTGGTTTAATGCAGCTAGAATAGCATTAAGATCAGGTTGGTTTTTCATATTTTGCAATTGCAATTGGTTAAGTCGAAACAGGCGAATGACAAGTAAATAAAAGTGCTGTGAATTTATGTAGTATCTATTGCCGTAATTCTTGATAAGATAATTAGGTTTATTAGTAATGACAATTGTACCGGAATAGTAGGTTTCAGATATGTTTATTATATATTTTGATTTGATTTTTTTTTTTTTTTTTTTTGCAGCTTGGCTGTCAGATGTGAGTAGTCTGTTCAAACTGTAACGAACTGGGCAGTTAATATAAGGCTAAACCAGAAAACGAAATTATTGCATGACAGAGAATTTGCATTAAACAGACTGATTTTGTACAAAGGTTTGTATTTCTCTTATATACTATTTCTAAAACTTATTTGACTCATCGATTACTAATACTAATTATAAATTAATTCTACTTAATGACCTTATAATTTATGCACTTAACTATTTGCTAATTATGACATTTATTCAATTAATTAATTAACTTATTATTGTGACTGATAATTCATGCATCGATGGGTGCTTGAATCAGGGTCATGTGGTTGAATCCTAGATCAGGACATAGGTTTGGTCATAAACTTGGGTTACGGGTTGTAGGTTGGTAACAGTGGGTTGGTCACAGTTTGGGTTGTGGGTTGGTCATGGGTTTGGGTGGGTTGATCATAGGCTTGGTTGTTACACTAATAGTTAAAGAAATGAATCCATTTTTTTTGACTATTTGGTCCAGGAATTATTCTAACAATAAGCAAATTTTCTTTTTTTATATGTTCATCAGGAGGTAAGTTTGCATTAATATATAAAAAAACCCAATAATCATTTTATTTTTGTCAAAATATTTGGTAACCATTAGTAGATCCAATAAGACATATATCATAACAATTAGAAAAAAATTCCTCTTAACAAAGATTTTTATATAAAATACCATCAAAAATATTATTATAAGATCTTTTATTGGATTGATATGTGGATCTATATAAAATCTTTTTAGCATAATTTTGATCTTTGAATTGAATTTCAAAACAATCCTTAAAAAAAAAATATGTAGCTTTTTTGTGAGCCTTCTGATTAGAGGTGCCTTGATTAATATAACATGGTTTATTGCATATAAGATAGTTGAAAAGTTGTCTATATTGTCCAGTAAATGCACAACATGAATTTACACATATATCAATAAACGATGTTGCTATTGTGACCTTAATTGCTAAAAATTTTTTTGCTGAATATAATGTTATATTTTTACAATTAAAAATTTCTAATATTTCTTAATATATTTGATTTGCTAAAGTTCCTTTTTGTGCTTTAAGTTCAAGCAATTTAAGAGCTTTCTTCATTAAATCATTTAATTCTTTTGATTCTAATTCTGATTCTGTATAATTTAATAGTAAGTATAAATAATAATAATAAAATTAATTCAATAATAATATTTGAGTATTACCAGAATTGTCTAAAAAGCATTTAATAAAATCATTATCATTCTCAAGTATTTCTTTTAATTCAGAATTTAATTTATTATCAGATAATAAAGATTTAAATTTATTATTAAGATAAGATAATTCAGATTCAAATTCATAATTAAATTTGAATTGCATATCTTCAGCTTCATTAATCATATTAAGATTATTTTTAAAATCACTTAAATTGTAAAAAAAATTAAATTAATCCAAATAAGAATGATTAAATTAAATAATTAAATAATAAAAATTAGTTATATACCTATTATCTTTATTACTATTTAATAGTATTGAATTAATATAACTATCAATTTTTATATTAATTTATTAAAAATATCTTTGTCATCATAAATAAGAATCATATGTTTCTTTTTGTAACCAACAGCCATCTTTATATTTTTTTAACAATGATTATATTTGCAAAAATGTTTTTTAGTTCTTTTATTAGCAAATGATATTTTAATAGTTAATCAAGTAAAAAACAAATAAAATAATATTTATACTTGCATTCATGTTTATAATTACATAAGATCAATATTGTTGCATCCATTTTTTATAATTACATAAATCAATATAATTGCATAAAATATTATATTGTATTATTTAACAAAATTATAATAAAAAATAAACTAGTTTATAACAAAACACTATATTATTTTTTATGCAAATACATATTATAAGTATGTTATGCAAAAAAATAAATTGCCAAAATATTTATAAAAAAATTATATTTATTTACTAAAAAATAAGTAAAAACATGTTTGTTAATTAAAAGATATGTTAATAAAATATTAAAATTTTAAATAATTACTTTTTAATATTGTTAATAAATTCTATCTATTGATTTTTGTTAAAATTCTCCAATCATGTAATTGTAATATCATTTATCAAATTACATATTATCTAATTATTGTTAAGTGCTTCTAATAATTCAACTAAATGGGGCCCAGATGTTGTAAATGTTTGAAGCTTTCTAGCTGATATATTACCAAAAAATTTAGGCATTTGGATTGATACTTTATCAGATTCTATTGTTTGTTTTCTTTTATTTGCTAGTTTAATTTATAAAGAATTAGATTTGTTTTGATCAATATCTAATAGTTGATGAATTGTAATCTTTCCTAAAAGAAGAGCATTAACTTGAGATATTGCTTTTACTCCTTTTTGTCTAGTTGCTAACTTTTTTATGCATTCTTTTAAGTAGGTATAAGCCTGCTCAAATTGATATAATATTCATAAAGAAATTCTTCTAGAAATCTCTGGTGAATAAGAAATAATATCTGCATTGTTGATAGATTCATAACATGTAGTTATAAGTGTATTAAAAATGTTTATTTGTTGCTCAATTGTTTGTAAAAATGTTTTTTTATTTTTAGCAGAAAGAATAGTAAAAGGTAAGTGAGGTGCTTTTTACAATAACATAAATTGCTCTTGAATATTATTATTTTTTATTTCTAATAAAGGTTTTTAAGAATTGTTATATTTTTCTAAATATGAATTCAAATCAAGAGCACCTTTAATTGATGAATAACAAAATTGTGGTTTAATTAAAGTAGAACTTTGCATTATTATGATTTTTAAAGTTTTAGCATCTCTTTATAGTATATAGATTTTGGTATACCTAAGTTAGGATCAAAAAAAAAGAGCAATTACTGGAAGAACTGCTTCTAATGATCGAAACTCACAATATAACTTTGCAACATGTAGCCTATTTTCTGAAAGAATTTTATCTTCAACTTCTTTATATTTTATTAAAAAACCTAATAGGCTTACTGGACCAGCTATAGCATCTTCTAAATCTACAATTACAAATTCTGAAAATTGAATTTTATTTGTTATTTCTTTAATGTAAGTATGACTAATAGGTTTCAATATAGTACTTTTTTCTTGGTTTTTAAGTACTGCTTTATGCTTTTCAGAATAAATGTCAATTTTTTTTATATTTAAATTATAAGCAATTGAACTCAACACTAAGCAATTGCTAACAATATTAGAATAAATTTTTTAAGCTTTAATTGTTTTGGATATTGACTTTTAATTATTTTAGAAGTTGATTTTAAAAGATCTAAAATATAAAAAAATACTTAGTAAAATAAACAAATAAATAAAATAAATAAATAAATGATTATTAATATACATATGCTGCTTTTTAATAAAAGTTTGTGCATAATTATCCTTATATGATTTTTCATTGCCTTTGTTATATCTATTATCTTTATTATATCTTTTGCTTTTATCATCTCCATTGCTATTATCATATTTGTTACTTTTTCTTCATTTGCTTTATATCTATTATTATTCTTCTCTTTATGCTCATTACTATTTTTTTCTCCATATTTATTACTACTCTCTTTATAAAGCTCTTCATATTTAACTTGATAAACTCTTTCATCTTCACGAGGATTCTGACTTACTTTTAGTATATCATCTATCCTATAAGATATTTTTTTGCAAAATCAAAATCTTTATTAAACTCCAACTTTTGATAACAAAATTTTTTTTGACTATTATCTGTATATAATATTTCAATGTCATTTGCTAAAAACTGAACATATTTAATTTGGCTGTTAATATTGAATAATCTTGTCAAGTATAATGAGCGCATTAAGTTGTTAGCAATGAATTCTAAAAAAAAAAAATTAATAAATATTTAAAATATAGCAAATTAACAGAAAGCGATATTCGAGTTTTGTAATATAAAAAAAATTAGAAATAGAATAAATAAATAAATAAAATTTAAATATAAATAAACTAATAGAACAAGTTATGTAATAAGAAAAAAATTAGAAAAATGAAATATGAAATAAAAAAATTAATTAATTAGAAATAATATTTAAAAAAAGTACTTATAAAAAAATAATTAAAATTAACAGAACTTGAGGCTCAAGTTTTGTAACTGAAAAAATAAATTGAAATAGAAAAATAATGAAAGTAAATTAAATATATAAATAAAAACAAATTTTAATAAAAAAATATTTAAAAATAAATTATATATATTAACAGAACTCGAGCCTCAAGTTTTGTAAAATAATAGTAATAAATTAACAGAACTCGAGTCTCAAGTTTTGTAACAAAAAAAAAAAATAAAATAGAAAAAATAATAATAATAAATTAAATAAATAAAAAAATGAAAAAATATTTAAAAAAAATATATATATACATATTAACAAAACTTGAGATTCAAGTTTTTGTAAAATAATAGTAATAAATTAACAAACTCAAGGCTCGAGTTTTGTAACCAAAAAAAAAAATAGAATAGAAAAAATAATAGAAATAAATTAAATAAATAAAAAAATGAATAGAAATAAATTAAATAAATAAAAAAAAGAAAAAATATTAAAAAAAATATATATACATATTAACAGAACTCGAGCCTTGAGTTTTGTAAAATCATAGTAATAAATTAACAGAACTCAAGGCTCGAGTTTTGTAACCAAAAAATAAAAAACAGAATAGAAAAAATAATAGAAATAAATTAAATAAATAAAAAAAATAAAAAAATATTTTTTAAAAAAATATATACATATTAACAGAACTTGAGCCTTGAGTTTGATAAAA